GTATATCTTAAGCGTAGCTTGGACCCCCCAATACATTTTGCTGGATCCGCCACTGGCGTATACAGAGTCTGCGCATTAACGCTGCTCGTTATTTCTTATTTCTCCACGTGTGGTTACTGCTAGACTCCATTTTCTCGGAAATTTTCAAATTCCAGTGCAGTTGTTGCTTAAAAAAAATACTAATCTTCAAGTGTCAAATATTTCAACTAATAAAAATAAATCTGCAACACAGATTATAGTCATGAAGGTGCGAGATTGTCATTAGATTTATTATCGGATATCCATGGTCAAATAGATTCCATTAGATGTATTATTGCCATGTTGACCATCCCCGATATCGATAGTAATATATTTAGATTTATTATCGATTTTATCGGAGAATAACAATTCTAGGCGATTCGGAAAACAGCTGTAATAGTATTCTCCATTAGATATAATCACAGGGAGTTGGACAAACTTGTGTATTTTAATAAATTATTACTACCTTATACTAAAATATTTTTGGATATTTAGAGTACTAACAAATTCCAACTTATGGTCCGGTTAGACTTAAAATACAATACGAATATTCACTTTTGAGATAACATTTTTGATATGTGTTTGTTCCTAGATAACGGATTTGCCAAACTTAACGCGTAAAAATAGAACGCGTATTTTGACCTCTATGTGGCCAACCAATGGCTGGACACGGATACGTTTGCAGTCGTTGCCAAAGAGCCGGGATTTCGCGCTAACACCTCCATTTCGCGATTTTTTTTTATTTTATTTAAACTACAAAACACAAATTAATCGCCCCGACTGCGCCAGTCTACCCGCGTCCATGCATCCATCGCCTGGCGATGCTCTTCCGTTTCACCCCTTCCGCAATGTTCTACTTTCGCAGTCTAATCGCATGTTTTTCGAAAAACGTCGAAAAACACAAGAATTAGTAGAAATGTTCCTATTTTGGGCGGATTATTATTAGAGAATAATGTCGTTATTACAAATATGCTGATAAACCGTGAGTTTTTGCCTTAGTTATTTTTTATCGGCGAAAAACTGCGAACTCGGCAAATTTGGTTGCACAACTTCCCTCTATCATACTGCGGAAGTCAAGCAAGTGTTCAAGACGTAAT